CTGGCTGAGTGTCCTGGGCAACAGTTTCCCTGCAGGGACTGAACCTGAGACACAGTGAAGAGAACCAACTTCTGGGTGAAATCAAAAGAAGCTAGTTCCACAGCACCATACTAAGGGACCACACTTAGCCTAAGGGAGGATCTCCAACTTTCTCTTTCTCCTCTTAAGGCTAACTATCATCTATGTGTGTAAGAGAGAAAAATACTTCAATAATTTGTGGATTTTGAAACCTTTATTGTAAACTTATAAAGTGCTACATCATGATTTTGCTCAGGCTTTTACCTATCCCATTATAGAACTCTGACAAACAGTGGTTACTCTGCCAGCTAGTTAAACACTCTTAGAGCAGCTGCCACTCTTAAAGCAGAGGACAGTTATCCTAAGCACCTTCTGGTGAATCCCCATTGAACCCAATGGCCAATGTTGACCAGAGAGACAGATGGATTCCTTTCTGAAGACAGATGTCTGGTTACATGGACCAGTAAAAACAGACAGTAACTGAGGAGTTATGGCCAGGGCTACTCTCTAGCAGATACCAAAGATTTCTCAGTAGAAACTGGCTCTCAACTGCTCATTTGGGTAACCAACAGAAAAAAAATCTCCATTCATCTATCATATTCTTTTCTCTCTGCTAGTAAGTTAGAAACGTCTCCTAAGTTTTCCCCAACTTGCTGGGAGTTAACTTTAGAACCACCTTACCATTGGACTACCTCTTGCTCTAGAAATCAGGCTGAGGAAATATCCACTAACTGTTTGCCTTTCACAGAAGAAAACAGCTATCAATGAATGATTTATATTTGTGTCATATATGCTAACTAAGAGTAGAAAAGAAATTTTAGTCAGCCTGTTTTTAGTTCATATGTGCATAAAAGACTAATAAATGTGCATTTCCTAACATGTAAATTGTGATTGCTAGGTGCCAGATATAAGTTTAACATGTGAGCTTCAGTGATATAAAAATCTAAGTAGGTCCATAATAAGCAATGAAATTGAAATAGTAATGAAAATGTTCCCAACTAAGAAAAGTGCAGGACTCAGTGGATTTACTGTTGAATTTTACCAGACCTTTTTCCATGAAATAGAAAGGAAAGGAATGCTTCCAAATTCATTCTATAAAGCCAGCATTACCCTGATCTAAAAAAAGAAAGAAGGAAAAAGAAAACAGGAGACAGAAAGCAAGTAAGGAGATCATTAATATCCTTAATAAACACAGATGCAAAAATCCTCAAAACAATTCTTGTAAGCAGAATTCAACAACACATTAAAACGATCATACTCTATCACCAAATGGGCTTAATCCTAGGCATCTAATGATAACTTACATAAATAAATAAATGTAATAATACCATAAAAAGAATGAAAAAAACACATGATCATCTCAAAATATGTAGAAAACACTTTGACAAATTTCAACATCCTGCCAGGATAAAACCTGGAAGGAAACAGGTATAGAAAGATCTTTCCTTAAATTGAAAAAGCCTATATACAACAAACTCACAACCAACATATTGAATAAGGAGAAGCTGAAAGCATTTCCTCTAAAATCAGGAACAAGACAAGGCTGTCCACTCCCATCACTTTGTTCAATATATACTTGAAATTTTAGCTAGGGCAATTAGGCAAGAGAATAAAATAAAAAGAAAGGAAGAATACAAAAAGGAAAGGAAGAGGTCAAATTATATTTTCAGACAATGATTCATTATATAGAAGACCCTAAATACTCCATCAGAATACTCTTAGTTCTAATAAACAAATTCAGCGAAGTGACAGAATACAAAAACCAATACATAAAAATCCTACACAATGATAACGAACCCCCCTTGAAGGAAATCATGAAAACAACCCCATTCATAGTAGCTGCAAAAAATTAAATTAAATTAAAAACCTAGGAATCAGGGGCTGGGAATTTAGCTCAGCAGCATAGCGCCTGCCTGGCAAGAGCAAGGTTGTGAGTTCAATTCCCGGTACCTGAAAATAACAACAACAACAACAAAAAACCACCTAGGAATCAACCTAACCAAGTTGGTTAAAGACCTCTATAATGAAAACTACAGAACAATGAAGAAAGAAATTGAAGACATTAGAAAACAGAAAGACCTCCCTTGTTCACAGATCAGTGGAATATTAAAATAGCCATATTACCAAACATGATCTATAGATTCAATGCAATCTCTACTAAAATAACAAATATTCTACACAGAACTAGAAAGGATAATCCTAAAATTCAAAAGAAAGCACAAAAAACTGAGCAGCCAAAGCAGTCCTGAGCAAAAACAGCAATGCTAAAGGTACCATAATACCCAATTTCAAATTATACTATAAACCATACCTATGATCAAACCATCCACTATGTTTAAAGTGCAGAAATTCAAAGGTAAGCTTGCAAACAGCCAAAATGCCTGTTAACAGATGAATGGGTAAAGCACAGGTGGTACCTATACATAATGGACTACTATTTGGTCAAAAAACAAAATCATGACATTTGCAGGAAAATGAATAAACTAAAGAATCACGTTAAGTGAAGCAAACCAGTATTCAGAAAGTACTCATAAGTGAAATAAATCAGACCTGCATGTGTAAGCATCGTATTGTCTCACTACTATAAGACTTGAAAGAGCTAATAAAAACTAGGAGATATGACAGACATTGTGAAACAAAAGGAAAATGCTCAAAAGTAAAGGGCAACTGGGTTATGGGAAAAGAGAAGGGAAAGAAAGGGAAATTATGTATATATGTATATACAGGATAGCTAACATAGTCGTACTACTGTCATCTATTGCTCTACAGAGGAACAGTTAATGATTACTTGTTTAATCAATCTTGTACGACTCTATTTGTTTTCCTGACAAAGCACTTTGAAGATATCAGTAAGTAATACAACAACCATTGTTAATTTCCTACAACTTTGTCTGCAACTCTGTTTTGTTTGTATTGCTCTTATGCTATTTTGTAAATGGATGTCTGTTTGTTAATATGTTTTTCCTTTTTATTTTTTAAAATAAAATAAAATTAACAAAAAAGAAAGTGAAAGAGTGCAAGTTTTCTTTCACAGGCACAATCTAAAATAAACAAAATCAAGGAGAGATGACTGGAAATTAAAAGACTTTTAGTCATAGAAAAGGGGATGGAGGAAAAAGAAAAGGGGTAACAGATGAAAAGAAACAAAATATGACATATGAATGTATCACAAAATGTGTATCATAATATGCACCGATTTTACAGTAAATCTCGTAATTTTCAATTTTTATGAGGTCAATTCATTAAGGAACATAATCCTCAATGTATATACACTGAACAATAGAGGTTTAAAATAGACAATGCAAAAGCTGATGGAACTGAAGGAAGAAACTGAAAAACAACATTAGCTGGAGATTTTAACTCCTCAGCAACTAGACAGAAAATCAGTACATTGTTGATATTCATGGAACACTACACAACAACTAGAATACATAACATCTTCACATACACAAGAATAATGAACTAAACCAAGCATATAATATAGAATATCATTATTATCACCAGAAATCAATTAATAGTGATGTTTTATTTTCATACCCTAATAATGTAAACTTCATGTTAAAAGCTACAAAGTTAAGGAATTAAAGATCAATTTTGAAGGTAGGTTTCAATTTGAGTAATTTTTCTGCTATGTGGTTATCTAATGAAGTTACCTATATGGCTGTAAATAACATCAACAAAGTATCAAATTTAAGTTTATATAGCTTAATCTCATTTAATGAAATGGTTTGAAAACAATTACAAGTAAATGTTATTCTATAATGTAAGTTTTTTCCTGAAGTATCTTTTTTCCAAGTTCTTAGAGTCAATATGCACTTATTCAAGTTAAGAAAGAATATGGTTAGAGAATTATGTAAGAAATAGAAAAAACAAAAAACATTTGTTTAAATGTATGAACAGTAAACCAGAGTTTATCACACAGATTTTCCTTTCTGTGTTTAAACCAGCATAAAACTCTTTTCTGGTACCCAGCTCCTTCAGTCATGTGGCATCCACAGTGTGTGGAGTAGGAAGAAGGACACATTGGGTCATGCCAAGAATCTACTAGACACTGGCCTCTATGAACTCCACTATCGCTAAAAGAACGACAACTTTTTAATCTAATGATAATGTCACTACGTTCAGGTTATAAATGTTTACTTTCTGAAATAACAGCCTACTATTTTTATATTGGTATGTTTTAAAATAATGGTGCTTAAACAAAGAGGACCCCAAACACCTTTCACTGGCACTCTGGCTTCTTTCTCTTATCTTGATTATACCTTGCTAAGCCACATTCTTATCAAACCTGTCTCCAATCAGAGGAGAAAGTACCCCTAAGTTCTCTGTGTAGTGTAAACAAGGCCTCAAATAAGAAGTAACTAAGTGCATTATACATACCACTTGGCTCTAATATGAAGTATGGTCTCTTGTACACTATTCCTAGCAGTGAGTTAGGAGGTCCTGGGTAAATTCACATATGGGGCTCTCTGTTTACTGCTCTGGACATTGATGTTCCTTCCTCTATTCTTTGTGTTAAATATACAATGAAAAATATAAATTTAATTACCAAAAGTCTAAAGGAAATTTTAAAATATGTATATTTTATAAAATTATTTTATGAAAATCACATTTTGCAGGGTGTCTAAATAGGCATTGTCTTTATCTAGTAATAAACACACCCTATACTCCCACAAAAAGAATTTTATCATTTTTTAAAAAGCACAAATCCTAAGGCATAGCAATATGACATTTCATAGCAATATTACATTCCTCATTAGTGACCTCTGATCAGTTGCTTGCTAATTAGATAGACAAGCTCCTGGCACTAATCCTTAAGTTTTCATAGATGTGAGTGGTATTTGCAATTACAGATCTTATAAAGAAAAAAAAAAAAAACTATTTGTCTCCTGTCTTGAAAGAACCCACTGCGCTTCTTCAGTCACTTTCCCAGAATTCAACTCCAATGGAACTGTCACAAAGAAAGACCAAGAGGCGCTCACCTTGGCAGCCCCTCAGTAAGACTGAGTAGACACGCTGGCGGACAGGACGGTAGATGAAGGCCTGGCTGGGCAGAGCTTGGTCTAGCTCATCTTCCAAGGTGTTGCTGCACTCGATCTCGCCACTGCTCATGATGCTGTATACCAGGTAGCTTTCTGCATGGACATGATGGTTCTTAGCAATCTGTTCAAAATGAAAATGCAGTGGGTTTCTGCCATCAAATTCAGGATATTACTGACATTTGTGTTTTCTTTCCTTTGGACTATCACGATCTATCCTTAAGTGCGTTGCTCTTCCTCTGCTCTCTACCTCCAGTCTGCAAGTCTTGTCATATTGTACTCTACTACTTCATCATTTTGTCTACTCAAGGCCTCTCAGTAAACGGGTATTAGCTAATTTCCACCAGGGCTGCCACAAAAGGCTCCCAATCCAGTTGACTCCAGATCCAGTTTTTTCCCTTCCCAACTTATCTTTCACCACTACCATGCTGTCTTGTTGGAAACAGGTCCATTGCTTCCCGCCCTGAGTTGTTTGAATGGTTACCACAAATTTTTCACCATGACATTCCAGTCCCCTCAATCTCCTGCCTCCTGTTACTGTACATTCCCACAGAAAATGCTACATTGCAGTCTCAGTGGAACATTTTCATGGTTCCTCAAGAACAACCCCCTCCTACCTCCCCTTGCACTCCAGGAGCACAAATCTCCACCTCAAAAGCCTGTCCCCACCACAGCTCCCAACCTCCTACTCCACGATCCTTACATTTACCAAAAGTATCACTTGCTCCATGAACTTTCTACTCCTCTCCCATCTAGAACGACCCAACTCCTGCCCCTGGGGCTCAAGTGCCATCTTGTCTAACCTCTCCTGTCAAACTATGAACTGTCTGAAGCTAGAAACTACACTAGATTCATTCATTTGCTCAGTCAACAAGGTTGTTTTGAGATGGGGGTCTGTTTCCCAGGCTACCCTTGAACTCCTGGCTCAACTGAGCATCCTGCCTCACTCTCGGCAGCAGCTGAGACCACAGGTATACCATCATGACCAGACTCACTAATTGTTTTCTGAGCAAAAACCACAAGCCAGCACATTTCCTTCTGCATGCCACATCGCAGAAAATAAGGTATGTGGTTTAAATTAATTCTACTTCCTCATTAAATAGGCAGTTGTGATCACCGGGTCTACAATAACCTACATACAGGCTTTATTTTCCTCTGGAAAATATTCTTATTGGTTGGGAATAAATTAACACATACAGTACTACTACTCAGAATTCAAACCCAAACAATCTCCCAAAAGCATTTAAAATGTGATGTTACAATGACTTCTGCTATTAAAAATTCTGATTCAGAGTTTCATATACGTACACTTAAGGAGTCCTTGTTAACTGGACTCACTACTGTAGACCTCAGCCAATCTCTCCATCCCACACTTTCTTTATGTAAACCACAGGTTTAGTGAGAAATGCCAATCACAGGGCCACATGAAGGTGAAAGCAGGCAGTGTTTGAAAAGTATGCGACAGGAAACTTGGAGTCCCCCTCAGTTGGTAAGTGGAAAACCATCATCCAAGACTGCCCAAATGCCTGGCTCTCTTTAGAACCCACAGAACAACATGATGTCTCCTGCACTGCTACAGTGTCTGCAAACCAAGGGAGACCTGCTAATGCTTTTCCTATCAGTAAGCTCAGTTTTAAGTAAGAAAGGGAAGGATGGAGGGACGGATTAAAACAGGTTTGTTGTACTGTAGACGAAGAGTCCTTGATGCTCTGACCAGGTGATGATGATCACAAGTGACCAATGCCTCTGGACCTTTCCATACAGACTATTTAAGATGCTCAACTATGTATGTCATTTTAGGGCAGAAATGCTTCCAAGTTGTTTCTATTCCCTCTTCCACTTCTGATTCTTTTTATTTCAAAAGAGTTGACATTTTCACACCAAGATGCACCAAGAAATTTTTAATTTTGGTAACTGTACAGAATTCAAGATGTTAACACTCACTACTGGGGACACAGTATTCAGTTAAGTTCTCTGCAATTAATAACTTTTAATTCATCAATTAGGTCAGTATGATCTAAGGGCTTTTGTTTCTACCCTTCAATGTTACACATACAGCATATTATACTTGGAAAAATCGTATCCACCAATCTAAAAATTCTAAAGCACAATTAATGTAATTTATCAAGCATTATGAAAACCTTATCATTTGCTTTCCAATTTCACATTTTCCAAATGCTTTCCAGAAAACACAGAGGTGTGGTTGAACACGGTGGTGCACACCTGTAATCCCAGCACTTGGGAGGCTGAGACAGGTGGATCACCATGACTTTGAGGCCAGCCTGGACTACATAGAGAGTTCAGGGCCAGCCTGGACTACAAAGCAAGACCTTGTCTCAAACAGACAAACAGAAAACAGAGGTATGGCTGTGGTTATGCCCTGACACTGCTCTGCACTGTGGCCTTTCCACCTAAGGCATCTGGGATAACTCTGTTTGTTCAACCACACAGGATAGAGGTCTAGCTGCCTATGAGACAAAGTTATAGGACTCCACTGCAAAATTTTTAGAGATGCAAGGGTAACTTAAGAAACTTCAAAATTGTTTCTGAAGATATAATTAAGTTCAGTAAATATGAACAATGCCTACATGACCTACCGTGTTACACAGCACCTGCCTATCTGCCCACAGATAGGTCTCAGAGGACCTTCTGAGGTTTATTCCTACTGTCAACTCCTCTAACCCTTGTGAGTGGCCTCCACCCTCCACCTGGCTGCAGTATCTGTCTAGTCACCAAAGCCACTGACAACCCAACTGCTTGTCTAGCCCAAGCCCAACTTCCTGGCCTCTATCCACAGCACTCACACTCCAAGGCCACTCTTCTATTTCTGAAAGCTGCCTTCTTGGGCTCTTGTTGGGCTCATTCTTTCCTCGTTCTCCTTCTCTCTTGGTGGTTTCTTACATCTCTATCCCACATGCTCTTTTACCAAAGATCCTGTGAGACATAGAAGAACAATTCCCCAAAGTATCTCCTGCTAGTAAAGAACTTGAGGTCTGTATCTCACTGCATGGACATGTCAGAGTGTCATATACCCCACTCCTTTGCACTGGGGCTCAGCTAACTGCCCCCCTCCTGCCTCAGCTAATGCAGCTACCATCCCTGGTACCCAGAGGAACTCCATTCACAACATGACCCCCTTATTGGTAATTTTACTTCTGAAACACTGTGAGGCTATTTCTTCCTATTTCCACTGCCATCTTCCTAATTCTAGCTCTCTCGTCTTTCACTGGGCTTCTGTAAGTCACTTCAAACCCATCCTCTGCAGTATGAACAACCAAAGTTTCACAAAACATCGATCTGATCACCTCACCCTGCTGAAAAATATCCAATGCTTCCTCCATGGATACAGAAAGGCCAAAATTTTTGGCCTTCATAGGGTGCCCTCTGTAGTCTGACCCAATCTGTCAGGCTGCCAAATCACTTGGAGGAACTCGATGAGGTGAATCGGAATGGGACCCATGAAGCAAGTAGAAGAGAATTGGGACAGACCTCAACCAAAAAAGAATGTGTGCAGAATCATAAGCAAATGAGATAGAAAGGAAAGTCAAGAAATGGAAAGACAGGCCTGACATGGTAGTGCATGCCTGTAATCCCAGCACTCAAGAGAGCGAGGCAGGAGGATTACCATTAGTTCAAGGCAAGCATAGGCTATATAGTGAGTTTAAAGCCAGCCTGGACTACATAGTGCAGGGAGGGCAGAGTGAAAAAAGGTACAAAAGAAAGCAGAGAGGGTGCAAAAAGACAAGTCAACACCGTCTCCCCACTGGGTAACTCAGGGACTGTGCAGCCCTAAGCTCTATATCAGATGTTACTTCTTCAGCCATGTCTAAGATTAGGAACAAGTGGCTTCCACAGGAATCTGTCCACATTCATGATTCTAGGCTACGGACCATACTGACTTACTTTCCCAAGGGCACGGAACTTCCACACTAGCAGCAAAGCTAAACATGATCTTGTGAAGAGTGTGGCATGAAAGGCTCACGTTTAAACCCTGTCTCTGGTGAGTGCAACCTCCACAACCACAGGTCATCACTGGCCTCAACACACCTCTGCTGTCATGTGAGAAGGCAAGTATCAGCCTCCTCTTAACAGAGCTTTGTGATGATGGAAGGGGTGCCTCTGGTAATTACAAACCACTATTATACCTATATCTAAGGTGAATCCTCTCTGTATGATCTACATTAAACTAGCTATATCCGGTCTGCATCAAAAAGCTGAATAAAATAAACCAGTCAGATTCGGCTCTCTGCCTACTTTCCACACTTCTTGCCGCGATAATATCATTCACCTCCTCAGACTTCTCTTACTCCTGTCAGCACCAGCTCTATTCTTATGCTGTGACTCACAATGTTCCTGCCTGCCAACACCTCTGCCTAAAGGTCCAACTCACCCTTCCTCCAATTTCTAGCCTAATTCTTTTTGTCCTTCTTTGAAGTACTTACACAAATGCTTCCGTGACATTTTCACCTGTAACTATTAAAAGTGGGGTCATGTTGCAGACCTTACTGCAGTTATTTGTGCTTATTACTAAGTTAGCTTATCTGCTACAATGTGGGCAACACAGGAAGAGGTTAAGAAGATCAATGTGCAGCAGGAAAGAAAGAAGTTATTAAGAGAAGCTAGAAGTATGAGAAAAAGCAAGTAATTCATTCAACAAAATATTTAATGAGCTACTATAAGCAGGTATTATGCTAGGCACAAAGGACACAGCATTGAGAAAATAAGACTCTGCCCTCAGCACTGATGATCTAGCAAGAAGGCATTTATCACACCTGAAAGTCCAGTTGCAGGGTGTGCTATGAACACAAGGCACACAAACCATGTATGGTGATTAAGCTTAACTGTCAACTTGATTGGCTTAGGAACTGCCTTGGAGTTCAGTAAAACACACTTGTATTTGTCTATGTGGGTCACAAAACCATAACCTTGGCCCCTGGCCCCTTCATCTGTGGCACTGCTGAGCTGCTCTGCTTTTCCCAGCCTCCATGAACTCAGCAGCTTTGCCTACCAAGCCTTCCTACCATGACATTTCTGCTTTGGAGCCAGCTAACATAATACATCCTCTGAAAATGAGCACAAATAAACCCTTCCCTCTTTAAGTTGTGTATGGCAGGTATTCGGTCACAACGATGAAAAGCTAATATACCGCTGCCCACTATTTCTGAGTGACTGCCAGGCTGTAACACAAAACACTAGTAAGTGTTAAATACAATGGTAGCAGGAACTTTTCAGGAGGAAGAGCATGTACAAGGCTATAAAACTGAGGAAAAAAAAAAAATCAGTGAGACACAGAGCTCTAGAAACACCACCAAAGGCCAGGTGATAAAAGCCATGGCTATACTGAGGCCACTGCTTTTGTCCTATGACTGATAAAATGCAAACAAAGGACTTTATTTTTGCATGCAGCATGACAAGTAGATTGCAAGTGGGTGAATTCTGCTCAAGAAGTGTTCTCACAGATTGTGATCATCCTGACAAGGTAATTGGATTAGGATGGTAGAAATGGGCACTGCACAAATTTATGACTCATTTAATAAAAGCAGTAAGATTCATGAATATTGCTTATAAAAAGAATGGGAAAGAATTCCTAGGTCTATCACTTGTAAACTAGATGAAATATATTGACAAAACACTGTGAACAATTAAAAAGTTTGTAGGTAAGACCATATTTGATTCTGAACAAGCTGAGATGCCACTGGACATTCATGTAGGTATGTGCCTTATCTATAAAACCTGGATAACAGGGTTAGGGGTGTGACTCAGGGATAGTTTACCATGTATGAGACCATGGTTGTGATCTCCAGTACTGAAGCAGGGGGAAAACCAAGATAATACCTATCTTATGGGGCTGTTGAGGATCAAAGGAGCAAAGATAAGCTCTGTGCCTAACGCAGAATCTCATACAAACAGGTGCCTAGTGGTGACCCGCCATCAAAAGTCTTCAAAGTTCTGTAACATGCTCAGAACTATTCCCAACTCAGTATAACATTTAATAACCTTCACAACCTTCAGCACTCTACTGCTTCCAGTTTTTCTCCCCTCATCAAATCCCATACTCCAGCCTGTTCTATTTGTACTCCATGAGACTGATTACAACTGCCACATGTTTAGGGTTCCAACAACCCAAAAGTCTTTGCCTATGCAAAGCAAATGCTGGCAGCATAAAGGTATGGCTCTGAATCTACTTCTTTGAGGAACTTCCCCCTATATGTTAACCCAGAACTTCCTCTCTCCTTGGAATTCCTACAGTTCTGCTCATTTTATTCATCTGGCAATACCAAATGTGGGTTATACTGTAATGTGTTTTCATATGCACAACACTATCCTAGACTCAAGAGGTTTTTACTCTGTGCAGCCCCTGCAGTCCCTTAACCATTACAGGTAGTAAATCTTCACTAACAAATCCATTAGTGGCTATATTTTCAATTATGATATCTTAGACAGGGGTGGGCACATCCACATACCTTTAAGATTTCAGGATCTGAAACCATGGTTACTTGTTCTTTTATTTCAGACCCCATATTCATGGGATCTTCTTGTATAACTTCAGGGTATACACACTTGGGTGCTTCTGTATTAAATTCAGGATCTGTCCCTACAGGTAATTTCTGGTTTATTTCAGGGTGTATACACATGGGAACCCCTTCCTTGGGTTCAGGATCTATATACATGGGAACTTCTTGCTTAGATTCAGCATCTATGCGCATGGAAACTTCTTGCTTGGATTCAGGATCTATACACATGGGAACTTCTTTCTTGGATTCAGAATCTGCACACATGGGAACTTCTTGCTTAAATTCAGGATCTGTACATATGGGAACTTCCTCTTTTGACTCAGGATTTGCACATACGGGAACTTTCTCCTTGGATTCAGGATCTGCATAGATGAGAACTTCTTGGTTGGATTCAGGTTTTGTACAAATGGGAACCCCTTGCTTGGATTCAGGGTCTGAACTCATGGGTATTTCTTGCTTGTCCAACACTGTTACACCTTTGGGTTTTTGGAAGAACCACGGAGATTTCTGTCCTGGCAAGAGATACGATGCCACTCCTTTATAAAAAAGAGCTCTGTTTGGTCCCAAAGGTAACATCTCTTCTAATTTTTTCTCACCTTGATGCAAATGAAGAACTTTGGATATGTAGTCTGACACAGCTAAGATAATATTACCTTTTTTGTCAAAGTTCTCTTTTGAAGATGTATAGGAAGATAAGCATTTGTACCGAAAGCTTTCAAACATGCTCTCTGGGATGATATCATTGCCAAGCAGACAGGCCAACAGAGGCAGGTCAGCCACTTGGAGGCCCAGACTCTCACAAAGCTTCTCTCGACATAGCATGACTGTGTTGAGACTCTCCAGACAGAGCTCACTAATAGAAAAGTAGGGACAAGTATCATAAATTAAGTAATCAGTGTCTTCTCCAAGAATTCCTAGACAGTTATGCTGGAGACCATAGGAAGCCACCTCGTAGTCTGCCTCCTGTAATGAACACAAGGTTTCCTGACCCAGTGCCTTCAGAGCAAACCGTGTAAATATGGCCAGCCCAGAGGGGATAAAGAACATGTTTCTGCCTGGCTGCTCCCTGCGTGACTTTATGTAATGGAAAATCTTGGATATCTCCTTGTTGTTCTTAAGCCTTCGTTTGATCCACTCATCTCTCTTATTCTGCTCCACCATGCCATCAAAGAAGAATATCAACTTGATGCCAACAGATTCAAAGGTTTTAATAAAATCTCGCAAAGCAGCAAAGTATTCTCTCCATTGGCCACCACAGATCCAAGATTCTGGAGTGTACCAGTAACGGAGACAGCACATGGCATCTACCACAATGGTTGGGGTACAGTCTGGGTGCCCGCTGAGGTGGTGCTCTGCCATCTCTTTGAGGTTGACTACTGTACATACATGTGGGCAGGTACTTCTCACAAACCCCTGCAACCCTCTCACACCCATAACTGGACTCTGGAAAGGAATCTGCAAAGAAAAACAAATCCATAATTAGTCACTACGACCTTACCACTAGACATAGAGAACTTTTCAAAGTAAATACAAGGCAATAGCTAACATCCCATAATAATAACTAATTAATAAATAATAATCCCATAATAACATCCCATAGCTAATAACTTATGTCAACAAGCTAACATAACATACTGGCTAGGAGTCTAAAAATTTTCAATTAAAACACATGAGGCACTTCACTTAAGCATATATTAACTACTACAGCTAGACTTCAAAGACAGTAGAGTACACCAATGTTTTAAGCTTTTCACTAAGACTCTTATTTAAGGTATTCAAAAACACATTCAATAAGATGCTCACTTTTTAAAAAAAAAATTATTTCCCACCTAAGAACTTAAATTGGAGTTATACATTGAAACAAAATGGATAATACTCTAAATACTTTTGCTGAGACAAACTAGACCAACAAAAGAACATATTAACTTGCTTGATAAAATCTAGCTCACTGAGAGATAAGCTAGTCTGTAGTGACAAAAAGCAGGTAAGTTGTGTCTACAATAAGGGAAGACAAAGGGATGACCCCAGAGAGATACTTTGGAGGTGAAAGATATGTGTACTACTTTGATTGTGCTAACAATTTCAGGGGTGTGGAATATGTTAAAACTTACTACACTGTACACATAAACACATGTCAAGTATTCCTTAATACAGGCATTGAAAAAACTACATAAAAACTCACTATACTAAATGTAACATTTGAGACAGTGACTGACTGAATGGAAAACTGCCCACTCTAAAAATTTAAGATACAAGTAGTTTGAGAGTTAGAATTTAAAATTTGGAAAAAAAAATACAGCCAAGCTGATGGGGAAGGGGCACACACCTGTAATCCTAGTATCTGGGAGAGCCTGAGGCAGGAGGATAGCTGTGAGTGTGAGGCCCAACTGGGCTACATGGTGAGTTCAAGGCCAGCCTTAAATGCAAAGACCCTGTCTCATAAAACAAACAAAAAACCATAGCTTGAAAACTTAATTTAATAAGATGTCCTTATATATAAGATACTCTTTAGGCAGGCTACAAGGTCTATCAATGATCAGAAAAAAATTTTATAAAGATATCTTGCATCCAGGTGTGGTGGTACACACCTCTAAGCCCAGGACTCTGGAGGCTGAGGCAGAAGGATTGCCAAGAGTTAGAGGCCAGCCTGGGCTACACAGTGAGTTCAAAGCTATCCTGAACTACCTAACGAGATCCTGTCTCAACAAACAAACAAATGATACCTTGTATTTCAGTAGCCCATTTTTTCACTATGGTTTTCTCTGTATCATCAGGGTGTCAGTCTTTTGATAAAACTCAACAAAAAAGTCCTTAATATGCAAATAGCAATACACAATGAATTATGCCTCCCAAAAACACAGGGCTGAGGGACCAGGCACATACACAATCTTTACTCTGTAAAACTCTGATGAGACTCCGGTTTAAAAAAAAAAATCAGAAGATCTACTTCACAAAGAAACTGTAAATAAATTATTAGGTTAGGAAAAGGCACTGTTTTTTCAGTGATGAGGATCTAACCCAGGGCCTCATACATGCCAGGCAGGTGGTTCTACCACTGAGCTACACTCTCAGCCCCAAGGAGGTTAGCCTGTTTGTTGTTTGTTTGTTTTCCCCTCTTATTTCTCAAGAATTTACTGACTGCTAGCAGACTCTTCCCTCTTATGCTAACAATATGAAGCTATCTGTAATAGCCATTAGTAATGAAAATACAGCAAAGTTAGGCAGATGTATTACATTTTATGTTGAAATTTAGAGAAGTTTCACTCACTGTTATTAAACGGACTATGAATACACACACCCTAAATTACTACTGTTATTACTGGTATAGAGTTTCCCGTGGAAACACTGCCGAAATACCTCTTACTGCAGTAGAACTGGGCCTAACATGGTCATTTCAAATATCAGGAGATCTGCTAAATCCCTGGGCATGGAGCCTAAGCTTAGGAAGGTTACAGTTTTTCCCCAGTGCTGAAGATCTAACACAGGGTTTCACACATGCAAAGCAAGTAGGCCTACCACTGAGTTACACTCTCAGCCCCAGGGAAGTTAGCCTCTTATTTTTGAGAAAGTGTGGCTTCTGTCCCTTAATATTATCACAAGGCAAAGGGGACAAGCTTTGGAAAGGAAATACAAGAACGCAAAGGCTGACTGGAATGAATAGGAAACAATACTTGGGCTATTATTCTATGCTTAGTCTTGAATTAAGCAGGCCAAAGGTCAACTTTCCAAATCTGGAGTCTGACTCAGCTTCTATGTTCTCTCACAGTTCCTTACTGGGTGCTCGGGTCCAAAAGAGCTCACAGCCAATCCCTGCAGATTCCTCCTCCAGGAGTTCTCAGGCTCTGGCAGCTCCCAGAGGGACTGGCTAAACTGCTCATCACAGAAGTCAATGCACAAATAGGGAAAAAGAACTAGCTAAACTTACATGCCCCACGTGCAGCATCTTCTGCCACATTTGAGCTGGCTGCCTGTCCTTGTTAATAAAAATTTTTTTGGTTTTTGTTTCAGGCCTTTTCTACAAAAACTTCAAACAACAACAATGAATTTCTCAAAATATTCTGTTTTTCACAAGAAGTCAGGTTCAGCCCTTTGCTATGACTTTATTGATATTTTTGCTCATCTCAGTAGTGAAAATCTTTTAACTAAGGAGACCCTGGCTCTTTATGTCTTTCCTGCCAATTTCATTTTGAGTCACAAACTATCTCAGGAGTGTGGTACGACAATGTGCTCTTCTGTGGCATTTCCAAAGAAGAATCTGAGTAGGACAGGACTTGGGAACCAATCATAGTAGAGGATGCCTTTCAGCATTTCATTGTCTGAACAATACTTACTTGGTACAGTTAATGTGGGGTGCAAGAAATGTCCAAAAGATAGGAAATTGGGTATTACTTTAAATAATTATTCTTTTTTGCTTTCCCTTTATTTTTGAGAGTATACATGGAGGCATTTCATTCTCTCAAGAGAATTATTATAGAATGAATGAAAAAATTTTACCTGAAAATTACTCAGGAAATTTTCATATCTAAATAAATGTTATTTAAAAGAAAGCATAAGTTTATGTCCCATTAAGTAGAAATTTTATTGCCCCAAACATGGTCTGGGATGCTCTGGGCATCAATACTATTAAAGTGAACCTCTAAGATGTCATCATCTGTCAAATCCCAACACCCAGCACAATGTCTCACATGTGAAGGGTCCAGTATTTGAGAGAATAACTGAATGATTTGAGGCTGCCCTAGGCAACTTAATGAGATCCTGACAAACAAAAAGGACTGGAGATGTAGCTCAGAGGTAGAGTACCTGTCTAGCATACACAAGGCGCTGAGTTCAATCCCTAGTACCACCAAGTAAATATATAAATAAATCAATCCAAGGCCAGGTATATAAACAGAAATTAGAAAACCAGATGTTCATGGACTCAAAAGTGTGACCAAAGATAAAGTACAAAACTGAATCATTGTCTTTCCCAGCTATTTACTACAGGGCTTGGGAAACAAACATCAGTGCAGGAAATTCCAGGAAGGAGGTGAAGGCACACAACAAAGCAAGAGCCTATTGCAATTATAAGCATGGCTGCACTCTACTTTAGCAGCCAGACTAACTCCACCTACTGAGTTAACAGTGGATGGGATGATGGTAAGGGGAAAGGAAAGTCCAGGAGATCCTTTCTTTCTTTTAATTCACAAACAGTTGTAGAAAGTAATAGTGGTGTCAGCCCAAGCAAACTCCTATATCCACAACGTAAATATCCATGTAATACTTACCACATTCCACATGCCTGCTAGGACCAAGGATAAAGCAATGAACAAGACCAAGTATGTACCTAACTACATGATGAATCTTTTTTTTTGTTTTGTTTTTTTCCGGTACCAGGAACCGAACTCACGACCTTGTGCTTGCCAGGCAGGCGCTTTGCCGCTGGGCTAACTCCCCAGCCCTACATGATGAATCTTGAAAGGAGATGATAAAGGCTCAGAGTACTAAAGAGAAGAAAGCCCAGGGATGTACACATAAATCAAAATGTGACCAAATGGATATCTTAATTATGTGCAGTTTATTGGCAAATGTGCCCTACAGTTCCACTTGCCCAAATTAGACATACTATTGGTGCTGTTCAGCCTCTTTCTCAAAGACACACTCCAGTAAAGAACACAGCAGGTACAGCTACTGGGGAGGCAAGCAACAGTATATGCTAGCTAAAGTCATTTGCCCAAGGTCACAGACAATTACAGGACTAATGGGGTTTGACAGTGGGTTTTTTGTTTGTTTGTTTGTTTTGGTACTGGGAATTGAACTCTGGACCACACGCTTGCTAGGCAGGTACTTGTGCCGCAGAGTTATATCCCCTGTCCAACTAATGGGGTTTGAGACTGGTTTCCTTCCAGTAGGACTCACCCCTCACCAGACACTGCTGCACTTGGACCTATCCCTGCACACTGGGAGTGCCACAGCCTCCTTCCCATGGTTAATTCCCACTCATCCACGGGGTCCTTACCAAGTTCATTGGGACAGGACAGTCTCTGGTTTTTCCCAGCAATCTAGAACTCTCTGCCTTTGGTCTTCCCCAACCACTGTAGAGAAAACACTACCACTACTGCACTATAAAATCTCTTGGAGGCTGTGGAAACACACTATGAAAACCACTGTCACTGAATACAGTAAAGAAAATTATGCCTACACATTTATGATGTCTCACTTATCCCAAATTCAGGATAAAATCTGACATAAATCAAAGAGTTCACAAATTAAAGCTAAAACAACTTCTTCACAAGACACTGCTTCCAGCTCTCATTGTCATCTGTGAACTATTTTTCTACTCAGTTCTCACAATTAACTCGTGAACCTAAGGTTAAAAAAACATGGAAAGGGCAGCTTTAGGCAAGTACAAGTACAAGTACAAGTACAAGTAATAAGTGCTGACATGGGGAAGTTAAAACTCCAAAGGAATAAGGGAAACCACAGCATGTGCCTCACAAGGCTAACAGCACTGCTTACATCTATAAAATTACATTTGAAATGTTTGAGATCATAGATAAATGTTTAGATCACATTCAGCACACTGTACCTCAGAAAAAATGTACTTTTAGAAAGTCTCTCATCCCAAGTTATCTTGGTACCTTGATGTTTGCAAATGATTTTGTAATAATCTGCATGAATCTATACTGAATTACTCATATGAGCTACAGTCTGAAGACAATATTACCTACGTCCTCCTAGTGCAAATATGCTTAAGGGTTCACTTTATATTAAATGCTTCATAATAAAGACTTAGATTTCTTCTTTATTGAGTAGTATATGCTGATGCTTACAAGCTGCTCTTTTATGATAACGCAGGTCGTGATTTACTGTATAAATAAAGACAAATAATTTAACTTCTGGATACCACTGATTTACTTGTAAAAATATGAAATTTACTTCTTAAATTTGGCAGATTTTAAGTTACTACTAAAAACTCATTTAGAAATTATTTATGTTTATGTAGATAACTCCAACTTTGAATGACGTTTTAAATCCCCACTTTACAAGGAAATGGATGTCTAAAAGAAAATTAAGGTTATTTATACTTACTAAGCTTTATAAAAACAACTGGTCGGGCTGGGCGTGACGTTGCACACTTGTAATCCCACCACTCAGGAGGCTGAGCCAGAAGGATTGCCAGCCTGGACTACATAATGAGTCCTTGTCTCAAAACCCCCCTCCTAAAGAAAAGGCAGCACTAGGGCTGTCTCATTTTTAAAGTAATAAAAGAAAGCTTGCAATATATTCCTTTAAATAAATTCCCATACTACAACTCTAGCTAAAAGTGATTTTTATGATTTCAAATACTTAAATGGACTATCTTGATCATCAATCCTTTCTCAAGGGGGGGGGGACTCAGCAGTCCAATGACTAACAAGACATTATACGCAAGTTAAAAGGTTCTGCCCAATGGGCTGAATTACCTCTTGATCAGCTCCCTCTGTTCATACAAGCACACCTGGAAGGTGGGGAGGGAAATAGCGGGACAAGAATACAAATCTCAAGACAGCAAAATATAACCTAACGAGGAACCTCCTAAGAAATACACAGTCTGGGGCTGCATGTTTTTAAAAAGAATACAAGTTATAAACACAAGACTGCTGAGTATCCAGAGCTGTGGAAGTGGTCAAGTGAGGGACTCAAAAGATCGAATTTCATGAGCTTTTTGGTAAATATGCACATAAATGATACCTAAATTCAGGATCAGAAACGTAATTTCAACGCTGAAAACTGCAAGTGACAGCTGATATATCTTATTGTAGTTTTCTCGGTAGGCCAAAGCTGTTCTGAGATTTCAGTACGTTTGGAAGGTTAGGTTAGAAATTTTAAAAACTGGAAGGTAAATTGGTCATGATGACCATCAAGGGGCTTGACACAACCAGCTTGGTGCTTTCCAAGAAAACAACCGGTGAGATAAACACAACTTTGCGCTCCAAGAGTAAAGGAATGCGAAGGCCAGAGAAACGCTAACAAGATCAAAGGACGCGGGAAATGAACGAGAAAAATCGAAAGGCTGAGATGCGTGAAAGCTGGGAACGCGTAGCCGCGGTAGCTAACAACACGGTCGAAAGATGGGAAAGTGAGAGAGCAATAGAGAAAGCGTCAAAAACAAAAGGCCGACCCTAGACGCAGAGCCCCCTTCTCCACCTCGGCCTGCGAGTCGCGCCGACACGGCCACGGCCCCCGCCCCTGCGCGCGCCGGCCCTCCCGGGATGCGCGCGCACACTCGGTCCCGCAGCGTCCGGGCCCACCCCACGTCCGCGGTGGGGCCGCCTCCGAAGACAGCGCCCGCCGCCTCCAGCGCGCACGTCACGGGAGCTTCGCAGGAGGAACGGAAAGGCACGGCCGCCAGGAATAACGGACCTGACCCCGGAATTGGCGCGTCTCCGAGGAGCACCGCGGTCAGTACGGGCGGCTGCTCGGCCTCAGCTCGTGCGCACCGGCAGGTCCGCTGACCAGGCCTGCCGAACCTAAGATGCACACACACGAAGGAGATGCCACTGCTCCTCCCTCAGCCCACCTTCCCCTCAGCCGCGCTCACTTCCGCTTCCGCTCCCAGCATTTCCGCCGGAGGCCCCGCCCCGTCTGCAGGGGCGGAGCCTAGGCTGCCGTGGGCCCTACAGGCTCTGGAAGAGTGGAGCACGAGGTGCGCTGTGCGCAGGCGCCCGGCAGGAGCGCAAAGGGTGAATTGTTCGGTGCGCATGCGCAGAGGAATGCGACGCTGGCTATTGTCTTGGCAACCGCGCTACCGCTGATGAGGCTGTCCCAGCTGTCTCACATCTTCCTCGTTCATTCAGTTGGCACCGCCCTTGTTCCCTCTTTTGTCCCACGGACAAGATCTTGAGGGGTTCAGCAGTAGCGAGGCGCGGGCACACGCTTGTTCCGAGCGGATCTGGGTTTCCTGCGGTGGTTTCCCGGCCCTCGGCGGAGCAGGCACATGACAGTTGGCACCTGAAGTCCCCACCCGACCGGACGGTAGTCCGTGCATCCTCTGGCCGCTGCCTCTAGGCAAGCTGTGACCCTCCTTCGTGGATGCCAGCTCGGCCACGGAGCTTGAAGGCCTCAGTGGGTCCTGCTCGCGCTCGCTCCGCCGCCCGGCAATCTGCAGGGCAAGGCTACAGGAGAAGGTGGCGCTTCCGAGCTGGAGTGGCCGCGGGCGCACCGCTGTCCCCGATCACCACCTCCCTCTTGGAAGGCTTGGGCTGTGCAGACCAGGCCAGCCCTTTCCCTGCGCAGGAGGCCGCACTCATCTGCAATTCTGATCCTTCGCCTAGTATTCATCCCACCCAGTACAGCCATAGAACATTTGGGCAGACGCATGTAAGACGGCAGAATAACTTCGAGACCAATGTGATTTATTTTTTGATGTAAATTATTGGCAAATTTAAATTATCACTGTACCACATTACAGTATTTAAGATGCATCCCGAACCAGTGCGTACACACACTATGTTCCAGTAGAGCTTTGGTGCATCTTGGTGAGCCATGAGGCGTCCATTAGGGACTTAAAGTAGTCAAGTATGGTTCTGTCATTTTCTTCAGAATCTCTGGCAAAGCCCTACATAGAGCACTTAAAATACATTGCCAGTTTGAAGTGACCCCATGGATGCACTGAAGGATTTGGGAAGGCTTGCATTTCCTATCAATCTTTTTTCTAATAAGTAAAATCAACAGTTGCCAATACCACTTGCTGGTTGAGGGTTATGGGGTTCCACCAAAAAGTATGTGAAATGACCTCTCTTCTTGAATGGCATTGTGATTGGGGACACTAATATACACTAAGAAGCAAGTGAAGCCCAGGTTTGTCACCCCTCAAAATTACCACGTTGAAATCTAATTCCCACAGGAAAGATACTTGGAAATAGGGCCTCTGGAAGATGATGGTCTTGAAAGTAGAGCCTTGGAAAATTGAATTGGTGCCCTTACAAGATAGGTCAGAGATGGCTGGGTGTGATGGCACATGCCTGTAATCCTAGCACTGGGGAGGCTGAGGCAGGAGGATTGCTGTGAGTTTGAGGCCAGCCTGGGCTACAGAGTGAGTTCAAGGCCAGCCTGAACTGCATAGTGAGACCCTGTTTCAAAAAAAAAAAAAAAAAAAAAAAAAAGCTAGACCAGAGAGCCCTCTTTCCACCACTAGAAGATTCAAGGAGAAGGCAGTGTGCAAACCAGAAGAGGACCCTCAGCAAAACCCAAGCACGTGGCACTCGAATATCAGACTCCAGTCCCAGGGCAAGGAGGACAAAGGCTTCATGGAGACCGTAGAAGGAGCAGCACCTGGGGCAGGTTTACAGGAGGAAAGACTTCCAGGCACAAAACTAGGAAAGAGATGGAGGCAAAAACTCAGATGTTATGATGGAGCAACCAAAAAGAACAGACTCAGGAGCAGGAGTAAGGCGGAAAGGCGGTGGGGAGAAGCTGGACGGTGGGAGCAGGCAGGCTCAGCCCCTGCAGCAGCCTTGCAGGGGATCCAGTCATTTTTCGCTCTTTATTTACACACAGAGCTCCCAACATCATTTGCCTCTTCCTAAATATATACAGAAATATTTAAGGAAGAGAGAAAAAAAAAGGCACTAAGATGAGGCTAGAGATGTAACTACTAAGAAGAATTAAAAAACAAGGGGGAAAAGTTATAAAAATCTATATTATCTTCAGTATCCAAAGATAATATTACATCCATGAAAGAGAAAGGATAGTCACAGAATGAAAAAAGAGCTCTTGAAAATTAAAACAATAGGGCCACGGAGATAGCTCAGAGGCATAGTGCCTGCCTGGCAAGCACAAGGTCCTGAGCTTGAGTCCCAGTACCAAAAATTTAAAATAATAAGTGAAAGAAGATAAATTTGATGTTCAAATGATAGGAAAAAAAAAGAGACAATAAAAAAATAGAAGATTAAGAGGTCTGACATCTGAAAAACAGGAACTATGAGAAAAGAGAATAGAATGTCAATACGGTGGCACACACCTGTAATCCCTGCTCTCTGGGAGGCTGAGGTAGGAGGATCCCAAATTCCAGCCCGGTCTGGGCAATTTAGCAACTTAGTGAGACCCCATCAGAGACCCTTTCCACAGTGCCAGTTATCAGGGCCCCTGCAGTGAGTCCTCAATCTCCTACCAAGTGTTATAGTGCGTGGTGGGAAGAAGGAACAAGAGACAAAACAGGGATGCAGGCAGGAGTCTTGTTTCAGGGAATAAAAGATCATGAGGTGTCCAGGGCCCTGGTATTTACTCATTACATCTGACTCAAGGACAATGGGTGAAGGGCAATGGGTGTTTCTGGGAACCACAATGGTGACTATGGTGGGCTAATAAGAACAAACCATTCTTGAAAGGACAAGGATACGATGGGGGGGGCGGCGCGGAGCAATGAGGAAACTGCAGTTTCCCCAGGTACCTTATTGTCCTTAGCAGGTCTTATCTTGCCCTTGTGAGCGCCACAGCAGTCATTAGCCTTAGGGTTTCCAGGTGTGACAGGAAAAGAGTGGGGAGTTTCCTTGTTCCAGTCTGGCTCAAAGGGCAAAACAGGGACAAGCTTTGGACTTCCTTACACTCAACTTATAATTCGTGGTTCCCAACAAGACCCTATTTCAAACCAAAAAATAAAAGAAGGGAGCTGGGATGTAGCTCAGGGTGAAGGTACTAGATACAATCCCCAGTACTGAAAAAAGAAAAATGCAAAGAAAAAATTACTCAATAAATAATTCAACAAAATATCCCAGATCTAGAAGACACATTCTTATATTGGGAGGGCCCAACAAGTGCCTAGGCCCCAGCAAAACAAACCTTCTAAAAAGAAGTATGTGAGCGCACATCATCACAAAGTTTCAAAACACCAGAGAACAAAGAAGGTGTTCAAAGTTTCCAGAAGGAGAAATAAAAGGTTCACATTTAAGGAATTGGAAATGTGAATAGCATGGAAATTCTCCATAGAATTCTAGGAAGTTGAAATACAGTGGACCATTAACTTCAAACTTCTGAAAAAAATAATACTAACAGAAATGGACCCCATCAAAATCTTACATGTAAGAAGGATAAAGACATTTTCAGGAGTGCAATCTCAAAGTTGTTGTCTATCAGATGCCTTATTTTAGAGAGTTACTCTGGAGAATATTCTCCAAAATTAAGACATGAGTCAAGAAGAGGAATATTTGAGGCCTACAAGAGTCCAACAGAACAGAGAAGAGAAAGAAAGTCTTAAGATCAAAGCTAAGGGGCTGGAGATTTAGCTAAGCGGCACAGTGCCTGCCTGGCAAGCGGGAGGTAGTAAGTTGGATTCCTGGTACCGGAAAATAAACAAACAAAAAAAAAGATGAAAGCTAAAACTGTTACAGTTTAGAGGATCCAGGCTTCAGGAAGAAATAGCTCCAGAAAAGAATGAAGCCCACCGCCACCTGTTTGAATATTAAAAGAGATATTCTCAGTTTGGTAATGATAAATAATAACCACAAGGAAGGGGCTGGGGATTTAGCTCAGTGGCAAAGTGCCTGCCTGGCAAGCGCAAGGTTGCAAGTTCGGTTCCCGGTACCGGAGAAAAACAAAAAAACAAAAACAAAAAAAATAATAACCACAAGGGAAAGTCAATGAATTGCCTACCAGGTGATTTTTTAACCCAGTAAGGGCAGCATAATGTCAAAAAGGAAAAAAAAGGAAATGTAATCGCAGCCCATGCCTCAACTGTGAATGAATGTTACATAAACAGTAATTTAACCAAAAAGGTGCTACCACTATTTTTGTGAAAGGAAGGTGACCTCGTGTGTGTGTGTATAGACATGGAGGCCCAGGAACCAAGGACGGGAGAGCTGGAGCCAAGAGGTTTGGAGAAAGACACACCTGTAGTGCAGAAAATGCCTTTGTGAAATACAAATCATTTCCTAAACCAGTAACTATCAGATAAATTTAGGGGAAGGAACTGGGATTGGTAATGTGTAGTGTGCACAAAGGCTATTTTTGCTACAAACCTAGAAATACTATTTGAATTTTTAAATCTGTAAATGTGTTACTTTGATAGAAGAAATTTAAGTTTTAAACTGTGGTAGGATAACTAGAAGGCATAGTGAGTGGCCCAATTACAGTATTACTCAAACGCCAACCTATCTAAACGCTAAGGTTTTTTTTTTTTTTTTTTTTTTTTTTGGTACTGAGAACCAAACTCATGACCTCAGGCTTGCTAGGCAAGCGCTTATGCCGCTGAGCTAGATCCCTGGCCTCTCTAAGGCTTTTTAAAGCTTTTAAAACCACATACTATTCTACCATAAGAAGGATATACTTGGGTCATTTGTAGGAAAGTGGATGCATCTTAGACTATAACTCTGAGTGAAATAAATCAGACACACAAGCTTAAATATCACCTGGTTTCTCTTACATGAGAAACCCAAAATGTAAATAAAGAGCAAACAAAAAGATCGAAAATAGGAAGTAGAGAAATACCTCTTTCTCAAGAAGGGGATCAAGAGATGGAGGAAAGGGGGACGGGAAGGAGTAGAAGGGGATCAAAACAGAATGAAGATGTGTTATGTACACAACAGACTCTATACAAGGAATGGAAACATTATGTACAGCAA